TCTGTCTGTCTGTTTCGCGATAAACTCAAAAACTACTGAACCAATTGGTACCAAATTTTGCATGTCGCTTTTTATAAACCTGAGGAAAATTTTCGGGTGCATTTTGATTCGTATTTTTGGCTATTTCTTTTTTTCATTTGAAGAACCTTTTTTTACGCGGACTAATCCGGAATGGAATGAATACCTAAATATGGCCATTTTTTTTAAAGCATCGGTGGTTCAGTGGTAGAATGCTCGCCTGCCACGCGGGCGGCTAAAGGGTTCGATTCCCGGCCGATGCATTTTTTTAAACAATTTTTAAAACTCATTTATATTATATCTTCTATATATATAAAAATGAATGTTTGTATGTTTGTTTGTTTGTTTGTTGGTTTGTATGTCCGGTATACAAATTCGCAGTAGTTCACTAATTCAAACCAAAATTTCCATACATAGGTAAAAAAATACGGGGAAGACGATAGGCTATTTTAAAAAAATATATAAATCAATTATTTAAACTATATATTATTAGTCAGAAAATGATGATGACGATATTGCTGTATCATGTAAGATTATCAGATACAAAATTATATCCGGAAAAATTCCAAAAAGCAGAGACCACGGGTGAAACCAGCTCATTATTTTGTACGCAGGAACAAAATTCTAACTGAAAAACATTCATTCGAGCAGAAAACAAAAGCCAGATCATCTTTCTATAAAAAATATCGCTTCTCAGACACAAAGTTTGGAGCGGGACGTTTCACAAGAGTGACATCCACGCATATTTAAATAAAAACATTTAATCGGGTAAAACCCGGGCGTTGCCCGAGTCATTCGGCTAGTATATATATTGTCGCGTAGAAACTAAATTAAAGAAGAAGTCGATGCCAAAAATTAAGTTTTATTCTTAGTAAAAAAATAGTCTCGATCGACTGAGCCGAGGCGATCGAATAATATTTTTCAGAACAAAAAAAAAAAACAAGTATGCAAACCAGCCTGCTTTGCATAACATAAAAATAAAATAAATGAGATATAGGAAGAAATATTTACATATATATAATAGTAAATGCCGCACTTTTCCCACCTTTGAAAAGAAACAGCGTCCCGCTGTTCAATTGAAGGTTATTGACCAATTTGCATCCGTCTAGCTCTTGATCTTGTCACAGGGCCTGATATCGGTTCTGGGTCGGAGAATCTTTGTTTCAGAACAGGTTCCTTGTTTGGAGTTGAGCCAGATATTTCTTCTTGAAGTAGTGGATCCAAATATGTCTTCTTTCTAAGTACATGTACTGTGTCCCTTGTTTTACGAAGTTTTGGAGAGTCAGAAATGGCCTCAATTTCGTAATTGACGGGGGACAATTTTCTTGTAATACGGTAAGGACCGAAGTATTTCTTGATTAGCTTTTCTGAGAGTCCAACCTGTCTCACTGGAATGAAGAGCCATACGAGGTCTCCCACATTATAATCCACAGGTCGATGTTTCCTGTCATAGTATTTTCTGTCTTTCTCTTGACCTCGATAGAGATGTAGTTGTGCAAGGTGTCGGGCTTCTTCAGCTGTGGTAATGAGATGTTGAACATAATCACCAACATCATCATTGTCGTGATATGGAAGGAGTGAATCTAAAGTTGTTTCGGCCTCGCGGCCATGCACTAGGAAGAAGGGGCTGAAGCCTGTAGTTTCTTGCTTAGCGGTGTTATAAGCAAATGTTACAAATGGCAGAACTTCGTCCCAGTTTTTCTGTTCCACGTCAACGTAGATGGACAACATGTCGGTCAATGTTTTGTTTAATCTTTCAGTTAGACCATTAGTCTGCGGATGATAGGCTGTAGTCTTGAGGTGATTTATTCCACTTAAACTATTTATTTGTTTAATTATTTGGGACATAAAGTTCGTACCACGGTCGGTGATGATCTGCTGAGGAGCTCCGTGTCGGAGAATAATTTCTTCGACAATAAACTTAGCAATTTCCATGGCTCCTGCGTCTGGAATCGCCTTTGTAGTTGCAAATCGCGTCATATATTCGGTGCATACAATAATCCATTTGTTGCCCCGATTCGTAACAGGAAATCTCCCTAATAAATCCATTCCTATCTTTTGAAAAGGAAAATCTGCCGGTGGGATAGGCATAAGTTGTCCAGGCGGTCGTTGTGGAACACTCTTCCTGCGCTGGCATTCTCTGCAATGCGCTATATACTGACGAATGGTCTTATACATTCCTCCCCAAAAGAATCGTTTACGTGCCCGATCATAAGTTTTGGCAAAACCCAAGTGACCAGCATTAGGTGCATCGTGAAGATTTTTGAGGATTTCAAGCCGCATTTGCTTTGGAAGTACAAGAAGCCGTTGCCTTCCATATGGCTCGTAGTTTCTTTTATAAAGTACTCCGTCCACTACTTCGAAGCCTTTAAAAGGTCCAGTTTGTTCTATTATGTCTATGATCTTTGCTAAATTGGGGTCTCGACTTTGTTCTGCACGAATATCAATGATCGATATTATATTGGGGAAGTCTTCTTGCTCTTCTGGTACAGGGTTCCTTGATAAACAGTCGGCGTCTTTATGTTTGCGCCCACTCTTATAGACTACGGTGATGTCGAACTCTTGCAGTCTGAGCGCCCATCTAGCGAGTCGTCCGGAAGGATCTTTAAGTCCTGCAAGCCAGCACAATGAATGATGATCCGTAACAACTGTGAAATTTCGGCCAAAAAGATAGGGTCTAAATTTGGATGTGGCCCAAACAACCGCAAGCAGTTCTTTCTCAGTGGTAGAGTAATTCTTTTCAGCCTTTGTAAGGGTCCTGGATGCATAAGCTATTGGTCTTTCAGCACCTCCTTGTATTTGGATCAACACTGCTCCAATGCCGTATCCACTGGCGTCGGTGTGTATATGGGTCTCGGCGTCTTCAATAAAGTGCCCAAGAACAGGTTCAGAGGTTAAAGCTTCTTTAAGAATCTCGAAGGCATTTTCTTGTTCTTCATTCCAACAGAATTTGGCATCGTTTTTTAAAAGGTCATTCAGGGGTTTAGCTTTGCAGGAAAAGTTTTCAACAAATCGTCTATAATAAGAGCACAGTCCTAAGAAACTTCTGACATCAGGTATACTTTTAGGAGATGGAAACTTCAAAATGGCTTCAACCTTTTCGGGGTCTGGATGTATTCCATTTTCATTGACAACGTATCCTAATATCTTCAATTGTCTTGAGCCAAAAATACATTTTTCATTGTTCACATTCAATCCAGCTTGTTGAAGGCATTCTAGAACAACTTCTAACCTTTTTAAATGTTCTTCAAATGAAGGACCATAAACCACTATATCATCTAAATAGCAAAGACAGATGTTCCATTTTAGTCCTTTCAAAACGGTATCCATCATCCTCTCAAAAGTAGCTGGGGCGTTACAGAGGCCAAATGGCATTACCCTAAATTCGTAGAGACCATCAGGTGTAATGAATGCCGTCTTCTCTCTATCATGCTCATCCACTTCAATTTGCCAATAGCCGGTTCTTAGATCCATACTTGAGTAATACCTGGCCCCTGATAAATTATCCAAAGCATCATCAACCCGTGGTAATGGATAAACATCTTTCTTTGTGATCTTATTAAGTCGTCGATAGTCAACACAAAACCTCCAAGACCCATTCTTTTTCTTCACAAGTACCACAGGCGAAGACCAAGGACTTTCAGAAAATTGAATTATATCTTGTTTCATCATTCTGTCAACTTCCTGCTGTATGATTTTCCTCTCCATTCCAGACACTCGGTAAGGCCTCTGTTTTGTTGGAGCGTGATCACCCGTGTCAATCTTATGCTTTATTTTACTTCGGGCAGGTTGGGACTTCCCAGAAAAATCAAAGACATTCGAAAATTTCTTAAGAACATTCATCATCTTATTTTGCTGATCCTCAGTAAGATTCGAGTCGATCATTGCTTCTATCTTCTGGTCCAATTTGGTAGTCCACATCTCTTCTTCTTGAATTAATTCATCGCATTTCAAGGAGCATATGGAGCCAACATCAACATCGCTCATGGTGCCAAGGGCCATACGCGAAGGGATCATCAGCGGCTTCGAGGTTCCGTTTGCTATCCACAAATCTGCTTTCCCTTGCTGAAATGTTGTAAGAAGGGAAGGTATAATAAATTCCTTCCTTATTGATAGTTCCCAATTTGGGCAGATTAAAACATCTCTATTTTCCTGAAGTGGTGTACCCACTACTGATATCTTACAACTTGACTTAGGTGGAATTACATAATTATCAGCAGAGTATACATCAAGATTAATTTGGTCATCATTTATTGGTAGTGTTTCTTCCAAATACAATTCTTGATGACCACAATCAATAACCGCTCTCGTTGCTTTGAAGAAATCCCACCCCAAAATGATGTCGTGGCTGCAATCAGGAATCACGATGAATTCAAAGGTTGTGGTGAGATCATTGATATGGACCTTTAGTGAACATTTTCCCAAAGTTTTAACAAGCTTTCCATTGGCGACTTTAACGACTGGTCCAGATTCAACAAAAAATGGAGTTCTCAGAAGTCTTCTAAACTTTTTTGAAACCACGGAATAATCTGCGCCCGAGTCTATCAATATTGTAGTTTACAGTCCATTAATGCTCCCTTTTATACAATTCCGTTTTAATTTAGCAGACGTCGATGATGGAGGATTTTCAAAACCTGCGGCCTCACCCCCCATATAGGTCGCGCATCCTAGTTTTCCTCATTTTGGCGTCGGGGTGAGCGGCTTGACAAACGACCTTCCCCTGGCGATTGGCTTCTTCGTCTTGGCATCCTTCCTCTGCCTGGATATGGTGATGCGCTGCGGCCAAAACCTCCGGGTCTAGGGAGAGTTGGAAAATCGTCAATTAAATCGTAGGGTCTTTGTGGGGTTGCATTGTCGGCTGATGGAAGTGTTCTTCTTGATCTGGCTTCCTCAAAAGTACGTCTTCTTTCTCGACAGTAACGTAAGACATGTCCTGGCTTCCCGCAATGGAAACAGATAGGTTGGTTATCAGCCGTTCGCCATTGGTCAGATGTTCTGGGGGCATATGGAGTGTAGTCATCTTCTCGTCGAAATCTTGGTACAAACGTTCTCCTTCTTTGAGATTGAATATTTCGCCTTGTAATTGGGGCGAGTACTTGTTGCACCTCCTCTTTAACTATGGCCTCCAATGAATTCACGTCACTTGTCCCAAAGGGTTCCACCTCGGTCATTTTAGGCATAAATTTTTGCAACTCCTCCTGGACAATCCGTCGAATCCTTAGAGCCAAATCTTCTTCAAAGTCCGACGAGATCGGAGTCACGT